GGAAGGAATAAAGCTATCATTTTCACAGATGATAAGACATCTACAACAGCATCTTAGACTTGTCAGTACCCAAATGTCTAGGTAAACTATAAGGAGCCTCTCCACCCAGACTTCCGTGTGCGTAAGTCCAATATGCAAAATTTGACATTTTCCCTACATATAGGGGACAAATAGAAAATTCAATTTAAAAGCATTAGTTGCAATGGCACTGAAGGTAATAAGATATCAGGGAATAAAATCTTCTGAAAAATGTGCATGACCTTTCTGGGAGAAAATTATACAACTTTATTGAAAGATATAAAGAAGAAATACACCGCATTAATGGCTAGGAAGATTGAATGTTATAAAGATGTCAGTCCTTTCCAAATTCTGTGAGAAATGGAATAGAATTCTGATCAGAATCCTGACACATTTCCTTGGGAACATGGTAAGCTTATTCTAAAATTTATGGAAGAGCAAAAGCTCAGTGGTAATGGAGACAATTTTAAAAGTATTCAACAGGGGTGAATTTTGCCCTGCTGGATGTAAAGAGCTGATGTGGGACTGGGTATGTGAGGCAGAGTGGGGTCCCCTCCTGGGTAGAGATGAGGTCCAGGGGCTGGAGAGGCTGGGAAGCCACTAACAGACTCCACACTCTTGCATGCCACACCCTGGCTGCAGCTCCCCAGGCACAGACAGGTGGGACTCTACTTAATCCATATCTCACCAAAAGTAAAAAGCAGTTTCTATTTCATCTAATACCCATCCCAAGTGTGTAAAGACTTCTAGATGTAAAGCAAAATGTAAAGACTTTTAGAAGGTCAAGCCAGATGTGGCACAGGCCTGTAATCTGAGCACTCTAGGAGGCTGAGGCAGGAAGATCTCAGGTTGAAGCTCAGCCTGGGCAAGTTAGTAAGACCTGGCCTCAAACTTTAAAAATTTAAAAAAGGCTGGGGAGATAGCTCAGTGTGAAGACCATGGGTTCAACCCTCAGTATCACCAAAAAACAAATTAACCCCACAGAACATGTAGGAAAATATCTTTATGAAATTGGGTAGGAATTCTTAAGCAAGATTCAAGGAAGAAAATTTAGAATTGGACTACAAACAAATGAAAATCTTGTTAATTGAATGTCACATTTTGTAAAAATAAAAACATCCCACAGGCTGGAATTAAACTATGCAATTCCTGTAGCAGTACAAGCCTGAAAGTCAGGATATACACAGATTCCCAAATAAATATGAGAGAGACAAAATCTGCCCCCATTAAAAAATGGACAAAAGATATCAAATGGTGATTTATAGGATAGTAGAAATCAGTAGATAAAATTCAAAACCACAACGAGATGCTGTCAGTTATTTTCTTGTTGCTGAGGCAAAATATTTGACACCCATAAGTTAAAGAAGGACAAGTTTTTTTTAGTTCACAGTTTTTCGAGGTTTTGGCTCACAGTCAGCTGGCTCCAAGGCAGAGTGGCAGGGCAGAGGGGCCTCACAGAGGAGAAACAGTCCGCGGTAGGGTAGGCAGGAAGAGGCAGCAGCCCCAGCATCAACCCTTTCCCTTTTTATTCCATTGAAGGTTACAAGGCTTTTGGTGGTGCCCCCCACACCCAGGGTGGGGCTCCTCTTCATTGAATTCCTTCAGCCACACCCCAGAACCGTACTGATGCAGTCAGTGAACTCATCTACTTACCATATACCCACGATCCAATATCACACAGCCTAGATCCAGCCACCTCCAAAACGTCCCACCTCTGAGCTCATGAGGCTTTGGGGGACATCTGGACACAAGCCAAACAAACGCCAAATCATGTGTACCAGGCTGGCAAAAGCATCAAGTCTCACAACGCCATGTATAGGCAGGGGTGCGGGTAGGGGGACTCAGAGCATGACGCAGCGCTGCCTTCAGAAATGAGGAATAGGAGTGCCTTTCATCTATGCCATCCCACTCCTAGAGAAACCTCCTATGCCAACTCCAGGAGCCCACAGATCCTCACAGCAGTTGTTTATAACACAAACATTGTAGGCTGCGAACATGACTGTTCACAGCAGGTTGGATAAAGACACTTCAGCACATTCATATAGTGGATTATTATACACCAAGGAAAATTACTTAACTAGAAGTATAAATTCAACATTTGACAGAACATTCTTGGGTGAGGATGGTGCCTCCTAAATCACAAGGCCCGTGTTGGGAGACAGGGGCACTGGCTGATCCTGAGTGGCCCCAGGACAAGAACTAGGACCTCTGTAGTGGCAATCCAGTCATGTGGATTTGAGCTGAAAATGAGGAAGGGGTTTCTAACAGACCAGCCTGGCCAGGGATGAGCTCCCCATTATTGGAACTATGTAAGCAGGGTCTGAGTAGCTGCTGCATGGCATTGTGTTATCTGTGGTGTAAGGGCAGGACTGGGGACAGGAGGTCTTGAGATCTTGTGGGCCTTGCAGCTCTATGATTCTCTGAGTTTATAAAGTGTGGCCAGAGGAGGGGAGATGCAGTAACCAAATCTCTCACCCAGTGATGCTTGCAGGAGCTGGGACCGTGCTCCCTGGGCCATGACGACACACGTAGGAATGTGGGTGCCACCTCCAAAGAGCTGAGTGGAAGGAGCTTGCAGGGGACCTCCAGACTCAGTCCCCTGAAACTCTAGGCCTGCAAAGTGGTCTCCCCTGCTGTGTGGGCTGGCAGAGGTGGAGAGAGGGAGAGAGGGAGGAAGGGAACATTGTACCAGCCTCAAGCTGGGGCTCTGGCCTCTGTTCCACTGTAGGATTTGTGGGGCGCCCAGCCGTGGAAATGCCTATAACGGTACACTTGGGGAAGATGTGATGAGTTTTGCATGAGGATTAAGCCTGTGTGGGTTCTTGGAGGGAGGGAGGTGAACAGGACTGGACCGGAGGCCAAGGCTTCTGCATCAGGACCTTGTCACCTAGACTTGGGCCTCTGTTTCTCCACCTGTGCAATGGGAACACAGACAAGGAGACCCAGGTTCACGGGCAGTGGAGTGCATCCCCCTGTGTGCCTCCGTTTCCTCGTCTGCAGAAGGAGGGGGACCCCGGCAGCCTTGCTCTCACAGCAGTGGTCACACTGCCTCTCTGGCCCTGTGGCTGTCATCCTCCTGCCTTCCCTATCTTGCTCTCTTGTTGCTTCCTCCCCGTCTGCCCACCTGCAGGTTGGGGACAACCCCAGAGGCCCAGGGCACCTGTGTCATGTTTGGAGTTGTTCAGTTGCATGCCCAGAGCTAGGTACTTAGGTGGCACATAATTATGCCTGCCAAGCGAAACAGCAAGTCAGTGGTGGCCATCTGTGGCGTGTGCTGTGCTGGAGAAGTAGCTTTCATGAAATGGACGGCAGGTGCAATGGTAGGGCTGTGAGGCCATGTTTTTGTTATTGGGCAAGTTGTGCACTGTACAAGGAAGCTCTGCTCTGGGTGCCCGTGGGGGGTGAGTGTGGGATGAAACCTAATACACACACTGCTTTCCAAGCCACACTCACTGGCTGGGTGTTCTCAGAGGAGTCCATTGTTCCTCCTCCTCCTCCTCTCTTCCTCTTCCTCCTCCTCCTTTTCCTCTCTTCTTTTTCTTCTTCTTCTTCCTCTTTTTTTTTTTTTTTTTTTTTTTTTTTTTTTTTTTTTTTTTTTTTTTTTTTTTTTTTTTTTTTTTTTTTTTTTTGGTGCTGGGGATTGAGCCAAGGCCCTTGAGTACACTAAGTGTATGCTTTACCCCCGAGACAAAGTGTTTGTCCTGGAATAATTTTAGATTTGTGGGAACAATGGTAAGAGTGTTTGTGTCTTTGCTCCACCCCATCCTCCCATCATGGGTCAGCGTCACTGACATATCCAGGATATGTTTGTCAAAGCTAAGAAATGAGCACTGGTGTGAATCTGTGAGCTGAATCGCAGGCTTGACTTCTGCTAATGTTCCTTCTCTGCGCTGGATTCAGGTCAGGGCACCACAGTGCGGTCTGATAGCTTCCTTTAGATGGACCCTGGGGCCAACTTGGGGTCCAGAAGAAAATGGGGAAATAATTTGGATGGGGGGGTACCTGAGATAAAGGCCTTAGGTGGCTGGGCAGGGCAGAGCCCCAGGATGGTGAAAGGGCATCTGGGCTCAGGCCCAGCCCTTGCTACCCTCCCATGGGTGACAAGTCCAGGGAGAGTGAGCCCATCCGGAGATGGGCACTGGGGGAGGGCAGTGGCTGTGGGCAAAGAACTTGGAGCCCTCCTGGAAGTCGCCATGGCCAAGAGAAACACATGCTCCCCCAGCCCCGCTGCTCAGCTGTGGCCTTGGGCTTCATCCCCCACCATAGCGGGAACTGCCTGCACCTGGGGCATCAGCTGATGCCCCCAGCCCCCGTGCTCTGCATCTGCAAAATGGGCCATGGTCCCTGGTTCCGGTGCCGGTGTCACAGGGCTGCCTGGAGGGTGCCGCCCTCCTCCTCCTCCCTGCCTGTACCTTCTTCATCAGTTGCCCACCACCCCTTCCTGCCTCCCCCAACTCTACCCTCCCACACGTGCCCTTGCTTAGGGTCACCACGAGTGCCCAGGCGATGCCCATCCCAATTCCCCCACTTGGACACCATGTTCCTAGTGCCAGTTTGAGTGATGCCACCCTGTGGGTCCCCGGCTCTCCCTCCTTGGTGACACAGAGGTCCTTCCTGCATCTCCTCCTGGCTCAAGTCACTTCCTGTGTCATCTTCAGGGCCCTGTGCCGAGGTTCTGCCTCTGTACGGGTGAGGTCTCCTGCACCTTGGAACGGGGACTCCTGGTGCACAGCTGGCACTCATTAAATGCTCACACTTAAGTAGAGGCCAAATGACTTTGGGGAAGCCTCACGTTTTGGGGGAGCAACCTTGGCCCTATTCCTCCGAGAAGTGGGTCTCCTAGTCCAGAGGGCGCCCAGGTGTCCTGCTAGAGCCCCAGGGCGGATGTCTGGGGTGGAGGGGCAGGGCCCACACCTGAGGCCCCCTCCCCTGCCCAACTGCAGGCCCCGCCCTCTGCAGGCCGGGGGCCACAGCCTGGTGAGTTCCCCTTCCGCTTCCTCCTGCCTCCTGTCCTTCGGCTGCTTCTCTCCTCTGGGGCAACTCGCCAGTTCTCCACGCCCGCGGTGCCCGCAGGCACGCTGCTCCTGGTCCTGAGCTGTCACCGCCACACCCCAGGCCCCGGACACGATGCAGGCCATCAAGTGTGTGGTGGTGGGAGATGGGTAGGTACCTCCGGGGTACTGGAGACCTTCTGCCCTGCATCCCGGCAGATGGAGGAGTCCTGGGGGTCTGCTAGGAGGAGTCCAGCAGGAGCACCTGGGGTGGCCGAGGACGGCCTCGCTCTCCACGCCTGTCCCACCCTGCAAGCAGTTGGGTCGGCAGGTGGTGGTACCTGGGGCCCTCACCTGTACCCCCAAAGCTGGGCAGAGCTCCGATTCAGTCTGCAGTTCTATGGATGCAGGTGTCAGTTGGGGACCAACAGTTTCTCCTCTGTCCCAGGCTGACCTGGGCTTTGGTCCCTTTGGGCTTCACTGCTGCTGCTGGTGTGTGTGTGTGTGCGTGTGTGTGTGTGTCCTGGGCAGGTCACAGCACAACTCTGAGTCTCAGCCAAGCCATCGGGGAAGAGACCCAGGTCCCCTGGCTGCTATGAGGGCACTGGGACCTGCCGAGTCAGTTGCGTGTGTTTCTACCTCACCACCTCCAGACTGGCGGTTGGTGAGTGTGTGGGGGTCAAATCAGAGGCAGAGTGAGGAAGACAAGGGCAAGTGGTCTGGGGGGGTTCTGGGGGGCGGGCTGGGCCGAGGGCCTTCTCCGTGGTCGCATCTCTTTGGCTTCAGCAGTCCTCTGCGGGATGACAGGGCCAGCGTGTTAGGCTCTTGGTTCTGCCTGGGTACCCCAAGTCCACCCCAGCGTGGTCCAGCTGGCCCATTCCACAGGTGCCAGCTTGTGGCCCTGGGAGACTCGCATCTCTCCGGGCCTGGGCCACAGAGGCCCGAGTATGGCTGGGATTTGACTCGGTGGGGGCGCAGCTGCTATCTGCCCCATCTGCGCACCGCCTACCCCAGCCCGCCCTGCTCACTTCTGCTTTGTATCCGATGGGGGAGGCGCGGAAGTCAAGGGTAACGCTTCCATCCTTCAAAGTTACCTTGGTGGCGGGCTCTGGGGAGGAGGGCAGAGGAGACAGGGTGAGTAGTCTGCCTGGAACAGGAAGTGACAAAACCCCACCAAGCTGGGGAAGGCCCAGATCTGTCCCCTCAGCCACTCAGCTCCTCAAGGAGCCACATGTGCCCTGCTCACCTGGCGGGCTAGGGGAGGCATCTCAAGTAGCTGCTGTTATCACTTAGTTATCGCTTACAATGTGCCAGGCACCGGGTTCCATCCTGCCCATTGACCCTCTTATCAGGCCCATTTAGACACGTGGGAAGATGGGATCTCGGAGAGGGTTACTCATTTGTCTAAGACCTCACAGGACTTGAACCCTCACCTCTCTGACTCCAGCCCTGTGTCCTTATCGGCCCTGCCCTATGGTGGGGTGGCAGGAAGAGGGCCAGGCTCCCCTGAGAGTCACCAGCTGTCTGCCCCAGCTGTGCCAAGGCTGGCTAAGCGCTCTCCTGGGCATGGTCTGAGTCATGCCCCACACACTCCTAGGAGGATGGACTCATTCTTGTTTTCTATATGGGGAAACTGAGTCAGATGATGGTTAGGTGACTTCCAAGGCCACGCCACTGGTAAGAGATGGGGTCTGTGGCTGGAGTGTGACGGCAAAGCTGGGTCAGAAACCCAACCTATGCTCTTATTCTCCATTCCCACCCGTGGACCGGAGTCTCCAGTGTCTCCAGTGGGATCCTGAACCCAGAGGTCTGGGCCTGGGCAGATGCCAGGGTCCCTGGAGCACCTGGCAGGGACTCAGAGCCCCACCGTGTGCCTGGCAGAGCCCTCAACCGTGTCCACTCTCGCTTTCTGTCTTTCAGAGCTGTGGGCAAGACCTGCCTCCTCATCAGCTACACCACCAATGCCTTCCCCGGAGAGTACATCCCCACCGTGTGAGTGCTGCCTCCAGCCACCCCGGGGCTTCCGGGCCAGGCAGTGCCAGGGCTCAGGTGGCCGAGGGGGCCAGAGCCTGCCTGGCTGGGGCTTGACGGAGCTGCCTGATGAGCCTACCAGGGCAGGAGGATGAGAGATTGTCAGGGTGGGGACGGGGGGAGATGGGAGGTGACCTTCAAGCAAGAAGAGAAGAGAGTAGAGGAGAGGGCTGGCCAGACAGAGCAGGAGTGCGAGGTGGAAGAGAGGACAAGTGGAGCAGCTGATGGGAGGGAAGGGAGAGGGTGGGGAAGAGGAAGGGGTGAAGGAAGAGGGTACGGCCGTTGCTTTGCTTTTCATTCCTGGCTGCTGGGTGGATGTTCCCTGGGCACTTGCACCCCAGGGCCTTTGCTCAAGCTCTTCTCTCTGCCTGTGACACTTTTCCTTCCCATGTCCATATGTGTAATACCTCCAGCACAGCTCTAGGGTCTCCTGCTCTAGGAAGCTGTTCTCATCTACCCTGAGAGGTATCCCACCCCCCAACATGACCTCAGATGACCTGTCCCTCGCCCTGGTTCCATGTGGGCCCCTGTGGTCTTGATGCACAGGATAATAGGCGTGTTGTCTTGTATGCAGTCGTGTGTTTCGAGGTGACCTGAACGAGACAGCTTGGGGGCGGCCCTGGAAGGTCATCTCCCGGCTCTGTGTGAAGTGTTACATGTGTGTGATCTCCTTTGGTCCTGGGTATTACGATGACAGGACGTGGGGACGGTGCATTTCACCACAGCGAAAGGGCTCGTTCTCCGGGGCCACGGGGAGGTTGCTGGGGCCCTCATTTTGTGATCTTAATGGGATCCCCTCAGGCACAGGATTCAGATCCTTTGGGAAGTAGAGAGAGAGGCAGAAAGAACAGTGCCTACGGCCCAAGATGCCTTTGACTGTCCCCTAAGGCACTGGACAGTCTACCAGGACCCCAGTGCCAAGCCCAGACCCCACCCCTGACCTGGCCAGAGCCTCTTGGGCCCCTATGGCTGGGCACAGTGCCCTCTGCTGATGGCCCTGCTGCGGCACTGGGCTTAGCCAGGAGGTGGGCAGGGAAGCTGGGTGGGGCCTGGAGAGCCCATTTCTGCTCAGCTGGCCCCGGGCTGCAGAGCCCCCCCCCCCTG